GGGACGAGCACAACCGGTCGCGACTTGCCTTGTCCCCGCCAAAAAAGAGCCCGTATTTGCTTTGCATGTAAAGCTACTGCAGTTGAAATGAGGGAGAAAAAAGCACTTACCGCTTTGCCGGTATCCCCGGCCAGATAACGTAAAAGAATGAGGGGGGACTTGCATTGCATTTTTATGCAATAAAGATGCAATGCATTATGGGACATGGACGCAATGAATTATGGGATCACATGAAGACGCAAGGGATTATGTGTATATGGACAAATATAAAAGCAACTACTTTTTTCCCAGTGGGAGAGTTCCTCGAGTGACGTTCACGGTTGGTGGCAAGAACAGTCTGTTAGTGTGATTTTGAGACAGAACTCAAGAAGGGACGACTCAAGTTTGAAATACCAGCTGGGAGAGCTTGAATTTACTCGCTGGTTGCTGTTTTCTTTATTTCGCCTCAATCCCACACAATCAGAGCTGTTTGCTGTAATGACCTTGCTATTCTAGATTTGGGAGATATATCACACATGGCAGTTCGGTCAACTTGAGTGGAATTTTGAAAGCTGAATGTGTCGTGGTGCCATTTCGCAAATACAGCGACGCAATTCCAGAAAATGCAACAACGAAATTTTTTTTCCTTGTTTCTCTCTAGCATCAATAATTGTTTGAATTCAATAAATTTTGCCTGAGCCACTTGGGCCATCAATGAAGAACATTTCTGATTCAGCGACGTTGATGTTGTAATTTAGAGTGGCTGTCGTAATCGAATAAAATATTTGCCGCTGTTGCATTCTAATGTTGCAATTCTTGCATCGTGACGATTACCTATTTGGACCGTCCCGGGTAAGACGATAAACTGCATCCAACAGCAAGGGCCTATGATCATAAGGTTTTGAAGAGCGTAGAACCGCCTCTTGATTGCTGGTGTTCCCAGGTCCATCCTGACACGGGGTGGTAGCACCTGTCAGGGTCCCAGCCATAGGCAAATAGTTAACTCCCTAAAAGGGGTCAAAAACAACAGTATAAAAATAGGTGTTAATACTAGTAATACATTTTTGGGAAAAAATATTATCAGAAATACATTTTTGGAAAAATATTACCAACAATACATTTTTGGAAAAAAATTACAGAAATACATTTAAAAAAAAATTATTACCAGCAATAACAAATCTTGTCGGCATTAAATAACACAATGAGGTTGGTATGCCGTAAAACAAACGAAACCAAACGAAAGCAAACGAAACCAACCATGTTGCCACATTTTATTGACGCTGGATAAAAAATGAAATAGCCTTTTGTTTCAAAATCTGAAAATATCTACAAACTGAAGTACTTCCGGTTCAGACAATGTCCGATAAAGGATTCTCAACCTTTTCTAGTATTTTTGTAATGTTGGTAAATATTTATAGAATTTGTGTTAGTGGGTTTGTGTTTTATATTGGTTAGTGATATGAGTTTTTAATACCAGCAATACTTTTTTTGAAAAAAAAACTGTCACCAGTAAAACAGTTTTGAAGAAAAAATATTACCAGGAATACATATTTGAAGGGAAATTATTAAACAAACCAAACCAATATATACTAATGATATATATATATATATATATATATATATATATATATATATATATATATATATATAGAGAGAGAGAGAGAGATAGATAGATAGATAGATAGATAGATAGATAGATAGATTAAAAATATTACCAGCAATAAAAAATCTTGTCGGCATTAAATAAGCCATTGAGGTCGATATGCCGTAAAACAGACCAAACCAAACCAAACCAAACCAAACCAATATATACTGTGATAGATAGATAGATAGATAGATAGATAGATAGATAGATAGATAGATAGATAGATAGAAAATAAAAAATGAAAATAATAAAAATCTTGTCAGCATTAAATAACGCATTGAGGTTGATATGCCGTAAAACAAAACGAACTCAACCAATATATGCTGAGATAGATAGATAGATAGATAGAGAGATAGATAGATAGATATAACCAGCAATAAAAATCTTGTCGGCATTAAATAACCCATTGAGTTTGATATGCCGTAAAACAAAACAAACCAAAGCAATATATACTGAAATAAATAGATAGATACTGTATAGACTCAGATAGATAGATAGATAGATAGATAGATAGATAGAAAATATAATCAGCAATAAAAGCCTTGTCGGCATTAAATAACCCATTGAGGTTGATATGCCGTAAAACAAAACAAACCAAAGCAATATATACTGAAATAGATAGATAGATCGATACTGTATAGACTAAGTTAGATAGATAGATAGATAGATAGATAGATAGATAGATAGATAGATAGATAATATAACCAGCAATAAAAATCTTGTCGGCATTAAATAACCTATTGAGGTTGATATGCCGTAAAACAAACTAAACCAAACCAAAACCATATTTGGAGCTTCAATTCATTTGTTGTTAATTCGTCGTCATATGCCGGTATAATTTGTAGGATCTGAGGGAAATCAGCCACACGATATCCATTGCCCAGATGTTATTCTTCCATTTGGCGTAATAACTGATTCTCATCGACCATGATTCTATCGCAATCAAGAATCTGTCTTGTGATTATTGTAGAACGTCAAAACATCAGGAATTTCACAGTGTATGAGAATTAAAACAGTCTCAGTATTTGTTAGGTTTGGTTTGTTTTACGGCATATCAACCTCATTGAGTCATTTAATGCCAACAACTTTTTTTCCCAGTAGTATTTTGTTTTGTCAAAAATCTATTTCTGGTAATATTTTTTCCTCAAAAAGGTATAGCAGGCAACATTATTTTAAAAAAATATATTGCTGGTAATAGTTTTTTTCTTCAAAAATTTATTTCCGGTAATAATTTTTTACAAAGTTTTTCTGGTATTAAAAGTTATTTTTACACTTTCATAATGCTTTTTTCCTCAGTTTCGGGGTTAACTATTTGCCCATAGCTGGGACCCTAACAGGTGCTACCACTCCGGGTCAGGGTGGACCTGGGAACACCAGCAATTAAGAGGTGGTTTCACGCCCCTCAAAGCCTCCTGATCAGAGGCCTTGCTGTTGGACATAGTTTATCGTCTTACCCTGGACGCGGATGTCAAAAATGTATTGCTGGTAATAATATTTCTTCAAAAATGTACAGCTGGTAATTTTTTTTCAAAAATATATAGTTGGTAATAATTTTTTCTTCAAAAATTCATTGCTGGTAATATTTTTACAAAAATATATTGCTGGTATTAAAATCTATTTTTACACTTTCATAGTGTTTTGACCCTAGTTAGGAAGGGTTAACTATTTACCTATAGGTGGACCCTAACAGGTGCTACCACCACCGATTTAGGTGGACGTGGGAACACCAGCAATTAAGAGGTGGTTCCATGCTGATCAAACCATTCTGATCAGATACCTTGGTGTTGGATGTAGTTTATCGTCTTGCCCTGGACGCGGATGTAGTTTATCGTCTTACCCAGGACGGTCTCGGCATTTGATCAGGAGATGTGATTGTTGCTTCGGCATCACGTATATTCCGATCGTATTCTTCGTTGTTCACAATAAGATCCATCTTGAGACATGCTTCTTAAGACGTGCTACAAAGCTCACCATTTAGAGTACGACAGTTCTTCTGAAGAATTCGGCTCTGGTCTGTGCAAAAGCAGCATTCACAGGAGGTACCGTTCGCGGTCTTTTGGTGATACATAGTAAATCCTTTCGATTGGTATATCCTTTGCATCTTCTACTTCAGGTTTTTGTGGATTGATTCCAAGTAAAAGTTAACGGAAAATCTCGATATCGTGTCTATCTTGCTAACTGGTCGTAGCATCATTAACTCGATCATAACCATCCTGTATCACCCTCCCTATAGGAGAAATATTAAGATATATATATGTTCTACCGTTGTTTCTTCACTGACTCGTGCTGCTGGCAGAGCCTCGTCTGTTATCATATTGTGGCTGAGATAAACGGGCTGTTGCATGTTGGGATGGATAGCTCGTTGGCAGTTAGATGGCGACTCAGAATGCATAGGAAAACCGTAGTTTCACTACAAAGCTTACGAGGCACTGGCATATCGACCGCCAATATGCTGCTGAATTTCGTCGAGCGTTGTAACTTGGTGCCCTTAACAATCATTGGTCGAATACTGCATTTGTGCTCGAATGCAGTCATTTCTTTTGGATTTGTACAAATACTTGACTGCTTTAACTGTTCAAGCTATGATATGAGCATTGTAATTATTTGTTAAAAAGGATTGTACGGATCGATCCATCGATTATCATATAGGAATCCTTTCTTAACAAAGTTTCGCCAATTTTTCTCTCTTCTGTAAATTGGATAATAGTCGTAATAGTTAAATTTGCTGATAAAAAGCTTTTGGGAACTTTTTGAAGCGATGTCTATCTTTCATATATGCTCTATTTGAAATTCCAGGACGCAGGCACCATGGATGCTTGCTGAAATAATTGTATCGTACAATTCTGGATTCGCATCGGGGTCTGGAATTCCAGGATCGCAGGCATCCACGATGCCTGCTGAAATAATTGTCTCGTACAATTCTGGATTCGCATCGGGGTCTGGAATTTTGGCATGGTCATGATTTCAGCACAAACGTAGTTGTCATGGTCATGTTACGTGGCTTGTCGTCGCGATGAAGGGTGATCAGCATATGCCTATGAGGAAGACTTCGCTTTTGAATTTCGACGGATAGAATGTCTCTGGCAAAGCGTCCAAATAACATGGCGTATTGCTACCATCTTCATACAAAAGACTCGGACACATAGATCAGCCTGTCGCATAGTTTTTCATTTGGTTTCAGTTCTCGAGTAATTTCTGGTCAATTTGGATAGCACGTAAATGTCACAAAAAGATCTGGCTTTCCATAGATTCCATACTGTTGTTTGTCATTGAATTGAAGTAAAGCTTTTATCCTGAAGCGTTCGCTACCAACAAATGTGGCTGGCATGACAGTAAGGCGCCTGAATATTTCTGGTGATTCACAGCACAGCAAGTAATGCATCAATCCCATGTAGCATTCATTGCACAGCAATTGATCCATCAATCCCATGTAGCATTCACTGTGCAGCAATTGTTCCCTCAATCCGATGTAGCATTCACTGCGCAGAATTTGATCAATCCATCCCATGTAGCAGTCATTGCGCAGCATTTGATCCATAAATCCCATGTAGCATTGACTGCACAGCATTTGATCCATCCATCCATCGAATGTAGCATTCACTGCGCAGTATTCGATCCATCAATCCGATGTAGCATTCACTGTGCAGCAACCGATCCATCAATCCCATGTAGCATTCACTGGGCAGCAACTGATCCATCAATCCCATTTAGCATTGACTGCGTAGCATTTGATCAATCCATCCCATGTAGCATTCACTGAGCAGCAATTGATCCACCAATCACATGTAGCATTCACTGCGCAGCAATTGATCCATCAATCCCATATAGCATTTGCTTTGCTGCAATTGGTCAATCAACCCCATGTAACATTCGCTTTGCTGCAATTGTTCAATCAACCCTATGTAGCCTTCGCGTTGCAGCAGTTGATCCATCAATCCATGTAGTATTCACTGCACAGTTGCGCGTGATTGTTTCAATTCAATCTTGCTTCTTCGATTTTGCAGAAAATATCGACTGCACATTCCTGACTGTGACGCCCATGGAATTGAAACTGGGTGAAATCGCCATCCCGTATCACCCCCCACCTATAGGAGAAATACTGCTGTCATGTCATTTGCCGTAAGCCCAACCATTTTCCCCATTGAAATGTAATAGATACAAAATGAAGCGGATCATAAGATGTATGCAATTGACTAATTCGCTGTAATTGGATGCCATTACCACTGCGCATACAGAATATATTATCACGATGCTCACTTGTCGCCTCATTCTCTAGAGAACTGTATGGGATAATGGTTGCTAGTTCCCCTCCTGTTGGCAAACCATAGCGGCGGTCGTTGTACCGAATTGGCTGAATACGTATTTCATAATGCTGCGTAGTTTGCATTTGAAGCTGCTCTAAATTGGGGACCTAGTTGACAACGCAGTGATTGTGCTGATTGATCAAGTGGGTAAGCATTTCTACAGTTGGTGCATTGAACGCATCATTTAAATTTACTTGTGCATCGGTGTCGCAGATATAGATCTGTGCAAACCGTGTCAATTTACCGTCTTCTGGTAGCCAATGTCATGATGTTAGGTCATGAAAACTCCATTGTCGTCCACTGGCAAGATCTCGATCAAAATTGGCCCCGCTTGACGTAAAGCAAATGCATTGTTGTATGCACGAATGTATCTTCGAAAGTATTTTGTCTTCGGTCAGAAGAGGCATGTATTCAGCTGAAGGCGGTTAAATTGGTGGAAGATTGATTTTTCTTTCTTTACGACATAAATGAAAACGTGGATTGCGACGGGAAGACAGTGCTATCCGTTCCTGTAAAAATATATATGAATTGCAATGAAAATATCACACGTCCATTCGCCCAAGTAGGTGTGTCCGTTCTATTTGGAGGAAGCAATGCTGTTGTCCGTGCTGTTCTTTGTCGTTGATCTCGCATAGGAAGTTGAATTTGGTTCTGCATTGGCGCACGATTGGCTTGTTCTGCAACGCGAAAATTGTTTTGAATCATTAGTTTTCATTAAATAAACGTCTGACACTGTCAGCATTTTCCTCCGTGTTTGACAAATTGTTTCGAATCCTTCATCTTGCTTGCGTGGATGATAAGGTAATATCAGTGATTGGTGCTGGGATATCGATTACAACCTGACACGCGTGAGCACGTTCTATTTTTAAAATGTACGATGGTGTTGTTTCAATGTTTTTATTTTTGTTTTATTTTACGGCACACCGACCTCAATGGGTTATTTAATGTCGACAAGATTTTTTTATTGATAGTAATATTTTTTTTCAAAAATATATTGTTGGTAATATTTTTTTTCAAAAATGTATTGCTGGTAATAATTTTTTTTCAAAAATGTATTGTTGGTAATATTTTGTTTTCAAAAACCTATCGCCGGTAATATTGTTTTTTCAAAAACCTATCGCCGGTAACATTTTTTTACATAAACATTGGTGGTAATAATTTTTCTCCAAAAATGTATTGCTGGTAATATTTTTTTTTCAAAAATGTATTGCTGGTAATATTCTTATTTAAAAAATGTATTGCTGATAATATTGTTTTTTCAAAAATGTATTGTTGGTAATATTTTTTTTCAAAAATGTATTGCTGGTAATAATTTTTTTTCAAAAATGTATTGCTGGTAATAATATTTTTTCAAAAATGTACAGCTGGTAATTTTTTTTCAAAAATATATAGTTGGTAATAATTTTTTCTTCAAAAATTCATTGCTGGTAATATTTTTACAAAAATATATTGCTGGTATTAAAATCTATTTTTACACTTTCATAGTGTTTTGACCCTAGTTAGGAAGGGTTAACTATTTACTTATAGGTGGACCCTAACAGGTGCTGCCACCACCGATTTAGGTGGACGTGGGAACACCAGCAATTAAGAGGTGGTTCCATGCTGATCAAACCATTCTGATCAGATACCTTGGTGTTGGATGTAGTTTATCGTCTTGCCCAGGGCGCGGATGTAGTTTATCGTCTTACCCAGGACGCGGATGTAGTTTATCGTCTTAACCAGGACGCGGATGTAGTTTATCGTCTTACCCACGACGCGAATGTAGTTTATCGTCATACCCAGGACGCGGATGTAGTTTATCATCATACCCAGGACGATGGCAACAACACTTGTCGAAATTAATTTAAAAGAAACACGAAGAAAAATAATTCAGTCGAAATATTGATCTTGTTTTTACCTCATGTCTGTCTTGTACCCTGTTTTCTCTTCTGTAGTATTTATCATTCTGAAAGCAATTGTCATAGTTTTGCAACCAAGAATTATGAACATTTCTATTTATTACGTTCTCTTCCATAACAAAATGACAGGAGAAAAATTTTTAAAAAAAATTATTTTGTCTTTTCTAAAAATTTTTGAATGTTTAAAATCATTTCAATTGCGACAAAGCAAGGGTTGCCTGTTACTCATCAAAAATAGAATTTTACTGCACTAGAAGACACCTTTCCCATCGAGATCTTCATAACAAACACGGCCTAAGAGGCACCTCATTTTCGCTTTAGGTGACGGTCACCAAACGTGGGTCGAACTTACGTCCATTGTTTAAACTCTGCGAGTGAAAGAGAGTAAGGAGGAAAGAAGCAGTAGGTGTAGTTTTGCAACAAAGATGACAGTTATGAATATGGCTATATCTTTGTATTTATTGTTTTGTCTCCGGTAACAAAACGAAAGAAACTTCATTTTAAAAAAAAAAAAAAACTATTTTTTTTTTTTTTTTTTTTTTTAGTTTTTGAATGGTAAAATCAATTTTAATTGCAACAAAGCAAGGGTCGCGTGACACTCCTCGAAAATCGAATTTGCGGCACTAGAAGATATTTTTCCCATCGAGAAGATCTTCATAACCAACACGCCCTAAGAGGCACCTCAATTTCACTGCAAGTGTCGGTCACCAAACGTGGATTGAACTTATGTCCATTGTTTAAGACCTGCGAGTGAAGGGGAGTGAGAATGAAAAAACAGCAGTCGTAGTTTTGCAACAAAGATGATACTTATGAATATGGCTATATCTTTGTATTGATTATTTTGGCTTCAGCAACAAAAAGAAAGGAACCTCATTTATAAAAATCTATTTTTTCTTTTCTAATAATTTTTGAATGCTTAAAAGCAAAGATACACAGTCTCTGTTTTTTTCTCTATATATATGTCTTTCTCTTTCTATGTCTCTTCATAACTCTCCCTTTTCTCTATTTCTATATTTCTTTCTCTGAATTTTGTATGTCTCTTTAGATATATTGAGACATTCATCGGCCTATTTGCAGGACTTTCCCTCTCTTGTGACAATCGTTGTGACCGCCGCTGCTCTTCCTTTCGCTTACGTGTCCGCTGCTCTCTTGTCTTCTCTTCCTTTTGTTTACGTGTCCGCCGATCTTCTGTCTCCCCTTCATTTCGCTTACATGTCCACTGCTCTTCTGTCTCCCCTTCCTTTCGTTTACGTGTCCGCTGCTCTTCTGTCACCTCTTCCTTTTGTTTACGTGTCCGCCGATCTTCTGTCTCCCCTTCCTTTCGCTTACATGTCCACTGCTCTTCTGTCTCCCCTTCCTTTCGCTTAAGTGTCCGCTGCTCTTCTGTCACCTCTTCCTTTTGTTTACGAGTCCGCCGATCTTCTGTCTCCCCTTCCTTTCGCTTACATGTCCACTGCCCTTCTGTCTCCCCTTCCTTTCGCTTAGGTGTCCGCTGCTTTTCTGTCACCTTTTCCTTTTGTTTACGTGTACGCCGATCTTCTGTCTCCCCTTCCTTTCGCTTACATGTCCACTGCTCTTCTGTCCCTCTTTGTTTCGTTTACGTGTCCGCTGCTCTTCTGTCACCTCTTCCTTTCGTTTACGTGTCCGCCGATCTTCTGTCCTCTCTTCCCTCTTCCTTTCTCCCCTTCCTTTTGTTTACGTGCTGCTCTCCTGTCCCCCCTCCCTTACGCTGCTCTCTTTTACGTTACGTGTCCGCTGCTCTTCTGTCTCCTCTCACTTTCGTTTACATGTCCACTGCTCTTCTGTCTCCCCTTCCCTTCGCTTACGTGTCCACTGCTCTTCTGTCTCCCCTTCCTTTCGCTTACGTGTCCGCTGCTCTTCTGTCACCTCTTCCTTTCGTTTACGTGTCCGCAGATCTGCTGTCACCCCTTCTTTTCGCTTTGTCCGTGTCTCTGTCTCCCATTCGTTGTCCGTGTCTTCTGTCTCCCTTTGTCCCCCTTCCTTTCGTCTTACGTGTCCACATGTCTATTCTGTCTCCCCTTCCTTTCGCTTACGTATCCACTTTTCCTTTTCTTTCTCCTCTTCCTTTCGCTTTACGTGTCCGCTTTTTGCTCTTCTGTCTCCCTCTTCCTTTTCGCGTGTTACTTGTCTTCTGTCTCCTCTCCTGTTTCCCTTTCGTTTATGTGTCCGCTCTTCTCTCCTGTGTCCCTCTTCCTGTTCCCCTTCCTTTTGTTTACGTGTCCGCTACTCTTCTGATCCCCTTTTTCTTTCTCCTCTTCCCTTTCGTTTACGTGTCCGCTGCTCTTCTGTCTCCCCCTTCCTTTCGTCCTTACGAGTCCCTTGCTCTTCTGTCTCCTCTTCCTTTTCGCTTACGTGTCCGCTGCTCTCCTGTCTCCATTTCGTTTACGTGTCCCGATCTGCTCTCTTCTGTCTCCTCGTCTCATTTTCGTGTCTGCTTACTTGTGTCCTTTGCTCTCTCACTATTCTGTCTCCTCTTTCTCTTTCGCTTTCTTTGACCTCTTCCTTTCTTCTGCTCTTCTCCTCTTCCTTTCGCTTACTTGTCCGCTGCTCTCCTGTCTCCCTTTCGCTTACGTGTCCGCAGCTCTCCTGTCTCCTCTTCCATTCGCTTACGTGTCCGCTGCTCTTCTGTCTCCTCTTTCCTTTCGCTTACGTGTCCGCTGCTCTTCTGTCTCTCTTCCTTCCTTTCGCTTACGTGTTCGCTGCTCTCCTGTCTCCCTTTCGCTTACGTGTCCGCTGCTCTCCTGTCTCTCCTCTTCCTTTCGCTTACGTGTCCTCCTGCTCTTCTGTCTCTCCTTCCTTTTCGCTTACGTGTACACTGCTCTCCTGTCTCCCCTTTCGCTTACGTGTCCGCTGCTCTCCTGTCTCTCCCTTTCGCTTACGTGTCCGCTGCTCTCCTGTCTCCTCTTCCTTTCGCTTACGTGTCCGCTGCTCTCCTGTCTCTCCTTCCTTTCGATTACGTGTCCGCTGCTCTCCTGTCTCCCTTTCGCTTACGGGTCCGCTGCTCTCCCTGTCTCCATTTTTCGCTTACTTGTCCGCTGCTCTTCTGTTTCCTCTTCCTTTCGCTTACGTGTCCGCTGCTCTCCTGTCTCCCTTTCGCTTACGTGTCCGCTGCTCTCCTGTCTCCTCTTCCCGCTGCTTACGTGTCCGCTTACGTGTGCTCTCCTGTCTCCCTCTTCCTTTCGCTTACGTGTCCGCTGCTCTCCTGTCTCTCCTTCCTTTCGCTTACGTGTCCGCTGCTCTCCTGTCTCTCCTTCCTTTCGCTTACGTGTCCGCTGCTCTCCTGTCTCCCTTTTCGCTTACGTGTCCGCTGCTCTCCTGTCTCCCCTTTCTTACGTGTCCTTCCTTGCTTCTTCTGTCTCTCCTTCCTTTCGTGCTTACGTGTCCCTTTCTCTCCTGTCTCCTCTTCCATTCGCTTACGTGTCCGCTGCTCTCCTGTTTCCTCTTCCTTTCGCTTACGTGTCCGCTGCTCTCCTGTCTCCCTTTCGCTTACGTGTCCCGCTGCTCTCCTGTATCCATTTCGCTTACGTGTCCGCCGCTCTTCTGTCTCTCCTTCCTTTCGCTTACGTGTCCGCTGCTCTCCTGTCTCCTCTTCCATTCGCTTACGTGTCCGCTGCTCTCCTGTCTCCTCTTCCTTTCGCTTACGTGTCGGCTGCTCTTCTGTCACCTCTTCCTTTCGCTTACGTGTCCGCTGCTCTTCTGTCTCCCCTTCCTTTCGCTTACGTGTCCACTGCTCTTCTGTCTCCCCTTCCTTTCGCTTACGTGTCCACTGCTTTTCTTTCTCCTCTTCCTTTCGCTTACGTGTCCGCTGCTCTTCTGTCTCCTCTTCCTTTCGCTTACTTGTCCGCTGCTCTCTTGTCTCCCTTTCGTTTACCTGTCCGCTGATCTCCTGTCTCCTCTCCCTTTCGCTTAAGTGTCCGCTGCTTATCTTCCTCTTTTTTTTCTCTTTCTCTACTATTTTGTCTTTATTTTTGCTTCGTGTCCTGTCTCCTCTTCCTTTCGCTTACTTGTCCGCTGCTCTCCTGTTTCCCTTTCGTTTATGTGTCTGCTCTCTCCTGTCTCCTCTTCCTTTGGCTGACGTGTCCGCTGCTTTTCTTTCTCCTCTCCCTTTCGCTTACGTGTCCGCTGCTCTCCTGTCTCCCCTTCCTTTCGCTTACGTGTCAGCTGCTCTTCTGTCTCCTCTTCATTTCGCTTACGTGTCCGCTGCTCTCCTGTCTCCCTTTCGCTTACGTGTCCGCTGCTCTTCTGTCTCCTCTGCCCTTTCGCTTACGTGTCCGCTGCTTTCCTGCCTTCTCTTCCTTTCGCTTCCTTGTCCGCTGCTCTTCTGTCTCCCTTTCGCTTACGTGTCCGCTGCTCTTCTGTCTCCTCTGCCCTTTCGCTTACTTGTCCGCTGCTCTCCTGCCTTCTCTTCCTTTTGCTTACTTGTCCGCTGCTCTCCTGTTCCCTCTTCCATTCACGTACGTGTCCGCTGCTCTCCTGTCTCCTCTTCCATTCGCTTACGTGTCCGCTGCTCTCCTGTCTCCTCTTCCTTTCGCTTACGTGTCCGCTGCTCTCCTGTCTCTCCTTCCTTTTGCTTACGTGTACGCTGCTCTCCTATCTCCCTTTCGCTTACGTGTCCGCTGCTCTCCTGTCTCCCTTTCGATTACGTGTCCGCTGCTCTTCTGTTTCCTCTTCCTTTCGCTTACGTGTCCGCTGCTCTCCTGTCTCCCTTTCGCTTACGTGTCCGCTGCTCTCCTGTCTCCATTTCGCTTACGTGTCCGCTGCTCTTCTGTCTCTCCTTCCTTTCGCTTACGTGTCCGCTGCTCTCCTGTTTCTTCTTCCATTCGCTTACGTGTCCGCTGCTGTCCTGTCTCCTCTTCCTTTCGCTTACGTGTCAGCTGCTCTTCTGTCTCCTCTTCCTTTCGCTTACGTGTCCGCTGCGCTTCTGTCTCCCCTTCCCTTTCGCTTACGTGTCCGCTGCTCTCCTGTCTCCTCTTCCTTTCGCTTACGTGTCCACTGCTCTTCTGTCTCCTCTTCCTTTCGCTTACGTGTCCGCTGCTCTTCTGTCACCTCTTCCTTTCGTTTACGTGTCCACCGCTCTTCTCTCACCCCTTCCTTTCGCTTTCGTGTCCGCTGCTCTCCTGTCTCCTCTCACATTCGTTTACGTGTCTGCTGCTCCCTTGTGTCCTCTTCCATTCGCTTACGTGTCCGCTGCTCTTCTGTCTCCCCTTCCTTTCGCTTACGTGTCCACTGCTCTTCTGTCTCCCCTTCCTTTCGCTTACGTGTCCACTGCTTTTCTTTCTCCTCTTCCTTTCGCTTACGTGTCCGCTGCTCTTCTGTCTCCTCTTCCTTTCGCTTACTTGTCCGCTGCTCTCCTGTTTCCCTTTCGTTTATGTGTCCGCTGCTCTCCTGTCTCCTCTTCTTTTGGCTGACGTGTCCGCTGCTTTTCTTTCTCCTCTTCCTTTCGCTTACGTGTCCGCTGCTCTCCTGTCTCCCTTTCGCTTACGTGTCCGCTGCTCTCCTGTCTCCTCTTCTCTTTCGCTTACGTGACCGCTGCTCTTCTCTTTCCTCTTCCTTTCGCTTACGTGTCCGCTGCTCTCCTGTCTCCCTTTCGCTTACGTGTCCGCTGCTCTCCTGTCTCCTCTTCTTTTTCGCTTACGTGTCCGCTGCTCTCCTGTCTCCTCTTCTCTTTCGCTTACGTGTCCGCTGCTCTCCTGTCTCCTCTTCTCTTTCGCTTACGTGTCCGCTGCTCTCCTCTCTCCTCTTCTCTTTCGCTTACGTGACCGCTGCTCTTCTGTTTCCTCTTCCTTTCGCTTACGTGTCCGCTGCTCTCCTGTCTCCCTTTCGCTTACGTGTCCGCTGCTCTCCTGTCTCCTCTTCTTTTTCGCTTACGTGTCCGCTGCTCGCCTCTCTCCTCTTCTCTTTCGCTTACGTGACGCTGCTCTTCTGTTTCCTCTTCCTTTCGCTTACGTGTCCGCTGCTCTCCTGTCTCCTCTTCCTTTCGCTTACGTGTCCGCTGCTCTTCTGTCTCCTCTTCCTTTCGCTTACGTGTCCGCTGCGCTTCTGTCTCATCTTCCCTTTCGCTTACGTGTCTGCTGCTCTCCTGTCTCCTCTTCCTTTCGCTTACGTGTCCGCTGCTCTTCTGTCTCCTCTTCCTTTCGCTTACGTGTCCGCTGCGCTTCTGTCTCATCTTCCCTTTCGCTTACGTGTCCGCTGCTCTCCTGTCTCCTCTTCCTTTCGCTTACTTGTCCGCTGCTCTAATGTTTCCCTTTCGTTTATGTGTCCGCTGGTCTCCTGTCTCCTCTTCCTTTCGCTTACTTGTCTGCTGCTCTCCTGTTTCCCTTTCGCTTACGTGTCCGCTGCTCTCCTGTCTCCTCTTCTTTTCGCTGACGTGTCCGCTGCTTTCCTGTCTTCTCTTCCATTCGCTTACGTATACGCTGGTCTCCTGTCTCCTCTTCCTTTCGCTTACTTGTGCGCTGCTTTCCTGTCTCCCTTTCGCTTACGTGTCCGCTGCTCTCCTGTCTCCTCTTCCTTTCGATTACGTGTCCGCTGCTCTCCTGTCTCTCCTTCCTTTCGATTACGTGTCCGCTGCTCTCCTGTCTCCCTTTCGCTTACGGGTCCGCTGCTCTCCTGTCTCCCTTTCGCTTACTTGTCCGCTGCTCTTCTGTTTCCTCTTCCTTTCGCTTACGTGTCCGCTGCTCTCCTGTCTCCCTTTCGCTTACGTGTCCGCTGCTCTCCTGTCTCCCTTTCGCTTACGTGTCCGCTGCTCTCCAGTCTCCTCTTCTCTTTCGCTTACGTGTCTGCTGCTCTCCTGTCTCGTCTTCCTTTCGCTTACGTGTCCGCTGCTCTCCTGTCTCTCCTTCCTTTCGCTTACGTGTCCGCTGCTCTCCTGTCTCCCTTTCGCTTACGTGTGTCCGCTGCTCTCCTGTCTCCCTTTCGCTTACGTGTCCGCTGCTCTTCTGTTTCCTCTTCCTTTCGCTTACGTGTCCGCTGCTCTCCTGTCTCCCTTTCGCTTACGTGTCCGCTGCTCTCCTGTCTCCATTTCGCTTACGTGTCCGCCGCTCTTCTGTCTCTCCTTCCTTTCGCTTACGTGTCCGCTGCTCTCCTGTCTCCTCTTCCATTCGCTTACGTGTCCGCTGCTCTCCTGTCTCCTCTTCCTTTCGCTTACGTGTCGGCTGCTCTTCTGTCACCTCTTCCTTTCGTTTACGTGTCCGCCGCTCTTCTCTCTCCCCTTCCTTTCGCTTACTTCTCCGCTGCTCTCCTGTTTCCCTTTCGTTTACGTGACGCTGCTCTTCTGTTTCCTCTTCCTTTCGCTTACGTGTCCGCTGCTCTCCTGTCTCCCTTTCGCTTACGTGTCTGCTGCTCTCCTGTCTCATCTTCTCTTTCGCTTACGTGACCGCTGCTCTTCTGTTTCCTCTTCCTTTCGCTTGCGTGTCCGCTGCTCTCCTGTCTCCCTTTCGCTTACGTGTCTGCTGCTTCTCCTGTCTCCTCTTCTCTTTCGCTTACGTGACCGCTTGCT